GTTCTGAGCAGGCCTCCTTCACTTCAAATACGAAGCTTTCCAGTAGCTCTGGACAAAGGGAAGAAGCTAATGAGTGAGGGGGCTAGAATTGAGTGGGCAGCTGCCAAGCAGGTCAAGTACAAGAAGTAGTTGGGGCTATATAACCACCAGTGAGGGCTAAAACAAATCACTCAGATGTTATTTGGGGGAATTCTGGGCATTTATTTCCTTGTCCTGCCCCCTTGAACAATGAGGTAGTGGTCTGGCACAAAATGTTAGCAGTGTTAGGGTTCAGGGGAAAATCTCATTCTAACAGCAGCCGCTGTACTTTCTGGAGGTCTTGGGGACACCCAAATGTCTGGTTTCCCCCATTGCCTGGAGCAAGAGGGGCCTGAGGGAGAAGGGAGTGTGTGTCGCTGTGCTAAGCCAACATATTCCAGAACATCAATATGAATGCAGATATACACAACCAGAAGGCCCGGAGGTATTTTCTGAGCCCAGGAGATAACAGCTACAGTGGCTTTGCAGCTTTTTCTAGGGCTTTGTGTGAAGGCCTACCCACTTGGAGGAACTGTGCTCTTATCTCAACTTTCTTAAGGGAACTGAAATAAGTTAGTTAGCTGTTGGCCTCCCCCTAAGGAAGATAAGACCCTTGAGGTCTGGAACCTAACTTTTCATTCATATTAGCAAATATTGTGCCGTGTGCCTACTACTTAGCCTTTTTTAAAAATGAAGATTATTTGTAAGCCTGACAAGATATCCTACCATGGGAAGTTGAGAACCTCCAGTACCCCCAGATCATTTGACCACAGAATAACAAGACAAGCCTAAAATTTTATAGGATTGACTGCACCTAAGAGTTTTCCTCTTCTGTACCAATGATGATGTCAGTTGCTGACTACTTATAGTAGAGGAAGAAATGTTATTCTAGTGCACTGCTATAATATATGATCACTATCAAAACTCTGCTTATACAGGGTGAAACTATAACATTACTAGTAAGCTTCTAGAAACTACTACAAAGACCATAGGGTTCCTGGAAAAATTGGCTGTAGTGATATCTATTCCTGGGTCTAGCTGTCCTTGAGGATATTATTGGTTGAGATCAGCCAAGAAGGGTTTGGAGACATTGGAAAAACCACGTCTCAATGGTCTCAAGTACTTTATGAAAGTGTAATGTGACATCTGACCTCTTCAGTGTACTTCAGCTAAGCAGGTGACAGAGAGGCCTCACGTTAGATGAATTAAATTGCCAGCTGTGGAATAATACTTTGACTTGGTCACATGCTAGATCAGGGAAGTTAGATGTGTAAAGAAATGTATCTGAAGTTAGAAATGTGGATGATAGAGAGGTAACTAGGACTAGTCTTGAAATTCCTCAGGCTCAGGACTTTTGTATTTATACACATTTTGGTTTACATTAAGAGAGACTGCATCTGGCCAGGAAGTAGATGGAAGCCTTAAAGCGGCAGCACCTGTCAAGTCCCAGAAATTCAAGCATGACACCATAATCAGTAACACGAGATTGTAACTGTTGCCAATTCTAAATACCATTGGACCTCTGACATTCTTCTTAGATCAAAAAATATTTCAAAATGAAAAGTTAAAAGAATCCTAAAAGAAAGGTGAAAAGGAATAAGCCATTCTTCTCTATTATCAGTCTCAAATTCACAGTACTAAAGTAAATTGCAGTTCAGTATGCTCTTTCAGAATTACTGTCATAACCCTCACATAGCCACTGTAAATGAAGCCATTTATATATAGCACCCAGTTTGTATAATCAGTTGTAGAGTTCGACAAACTCCTACCAGGTGAGAAGCTTTGTTCATTGGTTCGCCACTCTGAAGGTCTTGGTCAACCTCATTTAACCTTTCACACATGGGCATACCCTTTGACCAGAGACTGCCTGTTGAGAGTGATCACATAGCCATACTCCCACAGGAAAGTAGAGAGGTGGGCCCAAAGAGAATCATTAAGATTTATTTTGCAACAGTGGCAGTGAAGAGAGGCAAAAGTTCCATTTCACAGTTTCAGCTATAGCATGTTCAACTGTAGCAGGTAGTCTTCTTAAACCTTTGGAAAGAGTGAAATACATTCTCCAAGTCCTTATTAGGGCAGGTGTCCACACTTTTGATTTAGAAAAAACAATGCAAAATGCTATAATGTTAGGATCAAGCCATTCTAGTTGGCTAATAAAAAGAAATCAAAATGAAAAAGTAGTCCATTTTCTCTACTTATTATATACATGGTTAATTCAAGTTGAACACATAAACATATGGGTTCAAAAAAGTGAATAGGCACAAAGGAAGTATCTGGGAAGTTCCCAACCAAGCAACTAATCAGTAACTTTCTAGAGTGATGTTTCCAAAGGCTTGTCTTCAAGTTTTAACTTATACTTGTCTGAAGTCTTGAAATGTTAAAACAAGAAAAGCTTACATTTTATTTTTTTAAATAAAAAACCCAGCATCATCCCAATATATAATTGATAGAAGCACATATTACAACATTACAACGTCTATTATTCTTTAAAATATATTAACACCTTTACATGCATGGAAGATTTAAAGGCTCTACTATTAGTTTTTGTGCAAACAGAAAGTGCTTCTTCCAAATTCTACTTGACAGAAAATCCAGCTTTTTGAAGCATATTTAATGACATATGACAAGGCATATATGATGTAAGACCTGAGAAAACTATGATATAAGGAAGCAATTCTAGCTGCAAGGATATTCCACATGTGTCATGTAAGTAGAAATTCATGTACCCACACATGTACAATTATATTGTAATAAATATGAAAGAGCAGAATGCAATAGCTGAAACATCAATGGAATGTCTATTAAGCTTCTTGACTTGAAAGTATCAATTTTTACTACTATGTATTTATTCCACTCACTGATTGTTTTCCAGATGCATGTTATGCTTAAAATCAACAGTAAGATAATACTATAAGATTTAATCATAAAAACTACCATGTTCCCCATGAATAGTTAATGCTATTGGAAAGTTCTCAGTGTCCGATGTTGAGTCAAGAATTCGGGGTCCCAAACTCTAAGTATAGAGTGACTAGGACAGATTTGAAGAAAAGAAATGGAAATGTTGAGAGAGGGAGAGAGAGAGAGTCATTGTGCTAAGGAATATGGGAGATATATTGATGAGATGTAGACTAAATCTATTTAGTTGAATAATATCAGTTTTATTGAACAGTTTTATATCACTTTTATAATATTTAAACCAATATACTCATCAAGCTGCTAATAGTGAATCCTTTGAGAAAGTGGGACTTGGGATAAAGTGTTTCTACTTGTTCTTTGTTGTTGTTGTTGTTATACACAAGGACAATTTTAATCCTGCATTTTCCTGCAGTAACAATCCATGACTGTAATGGATTGAAACTGCATTTGCCAAGAACTGTGAACATTAAGAAACTTTACATGAAGTCACATGTTGAAAGCACACAGACGTTTCCAGCACCAACAGAACACACACATACACATACCAAATGGTCTTGATGGGTAAATTTGCTTCACTTGGTAATCCTATTTAATAAAATTCAGTTAATGCAGAATTTCATTTTTAAATTTTACATCTTTATAACATGTTTTTCTAAGATTTAATTTTTTTTAAATTCAAAATTGTAATTTTCATGGCAATAAACAATGGTTTCATGAGTTCTAAGTTTCTTTTTTTTTTTGAGTTGGAGTCTCTGTCGCTTAGGCTAGAGTGCAGTAGCATGCTCACGGCCACCCCCAGCGTCAACCTGCCAGGCTCCAGAGATCCTTCCGCCTCAGCCTTCCAAGAAGCCAGAACTACAGGCATGTGCTACCACGTCCAGCTAATTTTTTTTAAATTTATTGTAGAGAAGAGGTCTCACCAAGTTGCCCAGGCTGGTTTCAAACCCGCAGGCTGAGGCAATCCACTCTCCTCGGGCTCCCAAAGTGCTGGGTACAGGCTGAGCTGAACCTGGCCAGTTGTAAGTTTTTTAAAGGTGTCTATAGCAATTTAAAATACCACAAGTCTTCTTTACAATTTGCAGCACCTGACTTAAAGGTTTAAAATCATCCAATGCATTCATTAAAACTGTAGTTTTTCTTGTGAGAAAACATGTATCAGTTGCTTTTCCCAGATTGTATACTGAGCATGGTTGTATGTTACTTTAAATTGGTGAGTAGAATTTTATTCATATCATTTATAGCCAGAACAAGAACTCCCAGCCTCTCTGAATGGCCTTCTTCTCAGAACAATAATAATAATGAATGTCTAAAATGGATTTAGGGTTTGCCCCACTTAACATTACAAAACATGTTTCCAAATATTCTTAGAAAATATGACTTTTAAACATATGCATAATAGTTTACCATATAATGACCATCACTTATTTAACAATTTCCCAATTGTTATTTCATATCATTTGCAATTTTGGGTATTATAAATAACATGGTAATGAATACCTTCATTCATAAGTTTTATGCACGATTGAGTATTTAAGATAATGTCAAAAAAGTAGCTTACTGGTTCAAACAGTGCACATGGTTTTAAGGCTTTTAATATATTTTACCAAGTAATCTCCATAATAGCTTGAATAATTCCTACCAACAATATGTTACTGTACCCACAAAGTGGACTTGGTAACAATGAAGCAAATTCAATCACAAATCTATTAGTCTCACCCATTTCAAAACTATCACATCAAAGAAGCAAGGAGATATATTACTGGTGAGGAAGCCAAATTCAGATTCCTTAAAAAAATCATCCAGCTTCAAATCAGTAAAATAAACAACTTTCCAAAAAAGTCTATAGGGTTTTACCAAAAATAAAAAGTTAAAAAGAGAGAAAGAGAAAAGTCAATACCAAATGGCCAAAATTTTTTATTTGACTAAATTCTATTTCATGCATAAGCACGACGTTCTCCCCTGTGTATCAGACTTTGGCAATAAAAAAAAAACAAGCAGACTTGTACAGAACAGTGAAAATGCCAAGGACGAGGGTAGTCTACAGTTTTACTGTAGGATAAATATATATATATATTTTGTTGTTGTTGTTGTTGTTAAAAGGCCTCTCTTCCCTTGGCCTATCAACTTTCAGTTCAGGTCATTAAATACAGACACCTTTTCAAAATCACTTCTTTACTTCTCCAAGATCTTCAATGCTGTCATCATCTACCTCTGGCCATTTTTCCTGAATGACTTCAATGACATCATCTGTAAAGTCTCCCTGAATGATAATTTCATCTTCCCCAGTTACTGAGGCACCAAAGGAGAATTTTTGAGCAAAATATCTTTGTGCTTCTTTAAGATCAATTTCGAAAGTTGCAAGGCCACACACTCTTGTTACATATTTCTTCTTTGCTCTGGGAATTTTGACTATAGTAACCTTTTGTGGTACAGTCTTCTTTTTTTGTTTTATTTGACCTCTTCCACCTCTCTTCTGTTTTTTCTTCTCCTCTTCTTCTCCTGTTGTACCTTGACCCTCACTAATTCCAGCTTCTTGTTTGGGCGAATTTTCTACAGTAAGTTTTGCAAACTCATTTGGGAAATTCTTCTCTAACCATTGTCTACGTTTAGCAACATCAGGCATATATTCACAGTACTCTGTTGGTAATGAACAGACTCCACAATAAAGGACTCGAAGCGGGTAATCCATGTCTAACTTGGCACTGTTCCTCGGGTCTCCTTTGCAATCAGCCCCACTGGATTCAGAAATGTCCGAGGCCATTTCCCAAACGCAGGTGGTCGCACAGGCCCCTCCACCTCCGCTCCCACCGCTATCGCCGGCTGAAGCGACACATGCCACTCATCTTCCCCGGCCAGGGCCGCCCGAGAGCCTCTCTACTTGTTCTTGATAGATTGTGTATTCTAAGAGATTTTTCAAGAAGCTGATAATATATTTGTAATTTGAGAACCAACCTAGAACAAATATGTGGAGACGTAATTATTGGTGAAAACATGATTTGTTGGCTATTTCAGACCTAATATATTTATGTCTCTAACTTATCACAGAAAACAGGTGGCGTCAAGACACCCACATTTTAAAAATACTTAACTGCTTGAGTTGGTATTACTTGTGACTTCACTGCACTTCTTTATACATGGCTAATATGTCTGGTTATTTTGTAAACCGGTATGCTTAATTCTAAGACGTGCAAAAAATGTGAGAGGCAACATTAAAAATCTTGGGTGTTCTAAGGAATAGTTAATGATGTTTGCAAAGACCTAAAGCTATAAGTGGGGAAAGCATATCTGAACATTTGAGATACAAAGTAACTTACATTTTAGGTTAAAATATATATGGATAGGGAAGATATGAGAATGTATGGCAAAGATATTTTAAAGGTTATCTCTTCTAGTTTTGATTGAGATACCATTTATTTTTTGGCTTCGTTATTTCTTAATATGTGTACAGGTTGCCAAGAGTAGGTGTTACTTTCCTTTGAAGATAAACTTTTTAGAATAAAATAAAGAAGTTTCCAGCGAGGGAAAATACATGTTGATACAGGCGCATGCAATTTATATAAACTGGTGAGAAGTCTTTGTATAAAACTACGGTCAGTATGAGTCAAACTATAATTAAGGCAAAATGAATGTGCATATGTTGTATATTATGTGTAGCACATTATATATATACTAAATGGGGCAATAAGAAACATTTTTCATAATGATTTATTTACTAAAAATAAACAGGTAAAAATATTATATTATATTGTCAAACTGTCCAGGAATTAGGAGTGAAAATTTACTATGAAAACCAAAATGCACAACCAATTTTAATAAACTTGTAGTTGTGTATGAGTGCAAATATAAAATTCTGTGTATATTGAAAGGAGTGAGAAAACATAATCGAAAAGTTTATCAGTGGTCTCAACAGGTTTGATGATCGTGCTTTACTCTGTATCCAAGCATCATGTCTTCTTTACTAATAAGAAAATGGTTTAACAACATCTCTAAGAGAAATGGTAACACATACAATTACACACACCCAATAAAGTCATAGAAAGCAATCAAGGGCCATCTAATGACATGGGAAAGTGCTTGTCTTCCAATGGTAAATGAAATCACGAGACAAAACACTCGAGTAACTCTCATTGTAATACATATATTCTGCCATATAACACACGGTGTGGCATTTAGTGATGACAGCTGAGTGCTTGTCTTAAAAACCTTTGCCAAATGGCTGCCAACAATTCCACACATAAGGCCTAGGATTTTATGCAGAAAATAAAGAATTCCTTGGGAGTCTTAGAGATGGATGAGCCAGGCATGTGGATTGATACCTAGAAATGTCCTCCTAGCTTTGAGTTTCCAACATTTTCTTTTTCCATTAGGCCTGGATCCATGAGACTTGCCCCCAGAAGGACACAACTTGAGAAACTGTAAAGCCAAGTGAACGAGATAGAACTGTAAAGGCTAGGCCTACTGGGAATTTACTTTTTAAAAAGAGAATATGCCTGATAAGGGTGGTGGTTTTAGGTCTCAGTTTGGTTTCAAATACAAACTCAAAGCAAAAGTGCAGCAGCAGACTTTCCCAAATTCGGTAAAATCAAGGCAGCCATGTTTCCTGGCACCTTTATTTCTTGGTGGCGTTTTTTCAGACAAGAAGGGCGGTAGAAGAGAGCTTTAGGCCACAACTTCTTGGCGTATCTAAAGCACTACTGCCATCGTGAGGAAATAGTTTGGAAACATCCTACGCCATTACAACTTCCTTTCCGGAGGACTTTCGGTTTAGAATGGTTCGAACAGTGGAGAGGTTGGGCAGACCTTGGTCTGAAACTGGACTTCCCTTGCTTCACCGAGTTATTCCAGGAGTTGTGGGTAAAGGCTTGATGCTAATGTTACAAAGGTGATGTCCAGGTATAGAGCCGGTTACTGGGGAGATAGGACAGATCCAGCAGTTGCCGGGAAGTCTGGGCACAGAAAGTTGTTGGGTGGGACTTTGGTTGAGGAAATCTCTCAGGGCCCCATGCGGGGCTTGTGGTCATTTGTCTACTGTCCCTGTCCCTCGGAGTATATAGTACAGGCCAGTCTATCTTGTTCTGGAGCTATAGAACCTGGGCTCCCCCGTCGTAGCAGTGTCACAGCACATACAGTAGGCTAATTTGAGTTGATACCTTACAATTGCTTGTGTGCTTGCTGGCGATCTCATACACAACAAAAGTCTGAACCCCGCTGCCTTGAATAAGGAGAGCAAAGGGAGATGCTTTGGGGGCCACCCTGCCAAGCCAATGAGGGCCAATTCTTATGCTGGAAGTGCACGGTCATGCACAAAGGGGCCAAAAGATGTGATGAAGGCCAGAAGGAATTCTATGGGCCTAGAGGCAGCAAAAACAGTGGCTTGCATCTGTTTTTTGCTTTCATCCCAGTTCTCTCAGTGGGATTGGTAGAGGTGGAGGTAGTGGAGGGGCTTATCTCGTTAGTTCTTCCAGAGGATGCTGAGATCTTTGAAGCCTAGCAATTCTCCTTATACTTAACAATTGTTCTTTTCTGTCGCTGCTTCATAAAGAGTTCCAAATGAAGATATCTAGTAAGCCTGAGAAAATGGTTATTGTTTCGGTGTTGAACACGTTAAAACCCGTACTTCTTGCTCTTAAGTTGATGAAGATTGTCTGGAATTACTTGGGATTCACTGCATAATCAAGACCCATTCTGGTGCCCTTCTTCTACGTTCCTCATTCAGCATTTGGCCTCTTAGAGTAGCTGAAGATTATTTTGTCTTGTGCTTGCATGTGAGCTTCCTGTGACTAAACATATTTAAAATTTCTGTTTCTGATATATTTAAATCAAGGGAAAATTTGGTAAAGGAATTAAACAGACAATTACAAAAGAAATTCCAACTGTTTATTAAATAAATGAAAAAATGCTGAATTTTATTAGTGTTTAGGAAGCTGCAGTTACCAACATTGTGTAGTATATTAGTTTATATGTACCAATATTTGCACATATTTATACATCTATGCATACATACTTGCATATGTGTTTATATGTGTTATATGAGTGCATGCATATTGAGATACAAATAATTTTTGCAAATATGTAGGTATGTGCATGTATATAAATATATATGTGTACAATTAAATAATTCTATTCAGTCTTTATCCCCAAGACTTAGAACAAGGCCTCGAACTTGGTTGGAAATAGATAGATATTGGTTAAAGATATGCATGGTTTCCATGCATATTGAGAGATCTGAGATGGTAAAAACCAAAGTGCAAATAATTACCTTACTACCAGATACTGTTTGGGAATGGGTACTTATGCCCAAATGAAAGTCTGCCTTTTAAAAATTAAGAAACATCTATTATTTTAATATATTTAAAATAAATTTTCAGATTATTAAGTCTAATCAATAGTAAGAATCATTTTTTAAATGCATATTTATTTTATGCTTAAATTGCCTGGTTTTCTTATGCATAAATTTTAATAGTTTTGAAAACTAAGCTTTGCATTTAAAAAAATGGACTTCTAAAGACTAATGACACTGTGAAGTTAATGAGAGAAAATGTAATATAAAAATTGAAGTTCAAGATTTTCCTACATATAATATACATGTGACCCATTCACAAATATAATAAATAAGAAAAGAGTAGAGCAAATCCAAATCTGATTGTACTTATATTAAGATACTGGGCATTCTTTAAGTGCTACTCCATAACTTATTAATTATTTTCACAATGCCTGTATTACATGTGCAATTTGGACAAAGGGTAAATCAATTTTTCCCAAAAAAGAGATAAAAAATTATCAGGCTTACAAGGGGGTATTGAATGATTTAGGAATATGTTCATGATACAGTGATAAGGAAACCTTGACTTCCCAGTAAAGTGGCAGGTTGCACATTGGCATCTAATTTTAATTTCTCCTGATTCCCTTCCAAGGTGGAAGCAAAGCGATTTTTCTAAAAGGTATATATTCACAGGACAAAAAAAAAAAAAAAAAAAGAAGAAGAAACACCATCAACAATTATTTACAAGGTGGCAGAAGTTGTTAAAATGATACACAAATAGCAGATGAGAGAAAAGTTAGTCCTAATTCAATGGAAAGAAAAGTAGAGAAGCAACTTGATTTAACGCAAATACACACTCGTGCGTGCATGTACACACTCTGCATGTGAGCTTCCTATGTGTGCGCATGCGCACACACATACACACACACACACACACACACACACACACACACACACACACACACGCACACACACACACAGTCTTAATAATTTGTTTCACCTAGGGGTTCTCTTGCTATAGGAAGTGTCATTAAAATGTGAAGGATTTTTGTTTTAAGCTGTTTAAGACAGAAAATTTTGGCTCTGCCTAAGATATAGAAAGCCAGAAAAAGTGCTACTTCCACTACAAAACAACAAAAAACTTTTGGATAATCTGAAAAATCATAACCTTTCCTGAGTTCATAGAGAGTTGAAGAAAGCTGAGGAATCAAGTTAAACAGCCTGAAATCTACCAAAGACAATTACCTCCAAGGAGAGACAAGTTGAAAATACTGGCACACATGGTGGCAGAAGACAAGAATACGGCAGATTCACCATAAAAGCAGATGAGGAGAATTCAGTTGAACTTTCTAATGAATTGCTGAAAGCTTAATATGAATATAGAGACCCTGGAAGCCAGGGACTTTTACTGGGGACTCATGAGAAAAATTGAGGGCACGGAATGAGACTTAAAAAAGCTTCCCTCAGTGCTGGAAGCCTGGAGGAAGAGAACAACCACTGCTTTGGGAAAGGCATAAGGCCTCTCTAGACGCTTCTTCCCAGAGGAACAAAAGTTTTAAACCACTGGAGGAAGAACATGAAACCCTGTTGCAGCCAGAGCACAGATGAAAA